CTACTGCCCCAAAGATAGGAATGGCCTGACCTTCAGAATCTCGAAAAATCATTTTACAGGCAAATTCCGGATTGGTCAGCCACCTGGCCGACTAAAAAAAATCGACCCGAGGACGGGAAGAATTGTCCCCTCGGTATATCCGATAGACTTTCGCATTTCGTTCTAACTTCGGTTTTTGCTGTAGGTACACTCTGTTTCCTATGCCATCTTTTAAGAAGTCGTCTTTGGAGAAAGAAATAGGATAAGGTCAGGTAAACTTTGCTGCCTTCCTGAAAACGAGGAACAGACTGAATTGATAGTCCCTTGGGAGGTCTTTTAGAGGAAGCCCAGACAATGAGCAAACTACTGACTGTGTTAGAGTCGGGACACAAGCGGATTATTGGCCTGATTGTGGCGTCAGATTTATAGAGTGTGGCAAAGATGTAGGACCATTGAGAACTATCCGACTTCCATAGTTTTTGATTGACAGACCTGATAGGCAAGAACACCTTTTACGCGCAAGCTAGGAGAAACATGATGAAGACGTTTCGATGTGCCACTGTGCAAAAAGGTTACCTGAATGAAGTTTCACTCCTGATTTACATGGAATATCATTCAAAATTCCTTTTTATAAAGCATCACAGCCTTTATTATTCGAGCATAACTTAAGTAAACCATACGACTAACATCCGGGAAAATGCGCTGTTTGGTGAGGGCTATTTTGTAATCCGTAGCAAAAAACGTTGGGATTAGGGGTAAATGAGCTGCACTACTTAAACTACTGTTGCCCTTTTTATAGTAACCTTCGTCTTGAAGTTTGTCTGAGAAAGGAGAGATTTACTTCGAACGAGACAGACGCGTTCAATAAGCCCTGAGAGGTCTAAAGTGCCCAGAACCTATACACCTGGCCCTATAGCAGATTCTGGTGTGTAAAAGGGGCAATTTTCTCTAGACATATCCTGTATTTATTTTCTGTCAAATGTGAGTCGCACAGATGATCAATGTATTTTCAATTAAAATTCGTATTTTTTTGGTACGAACTAATTCAGAAGCATTATTCTTTTGCATCAACCTTTTAACATTTAGGTGTTCACTTTCTGTAAGTCATAATACTTAGAGTGTCGAGTAGTGACTATAGGGAGTTCATCAAACAATTACAAGTTTACATCTTATTAAAACAATGTAAGTTAACAGACTGCCAGGAGGAAACTCGAAGGTAAAGGATTCTAAATAAAAAGGACTAATAATGACTAACAGTAAATAATAACTACTTAAAAAAACCGTATCATCTTTATGTGAAATTATAATAGCATGGATTAGAAGCACGTGCATCCCTGTGCATCAACTTTAAGTTTTCCTCTGAAGCGCACTGTTGCCTGTCGCCAGAGCTTTGAGTGAGTACAGTAACTGTCTCAATCTCAGTCATAGCATTTAACAGAGGGCACTGCTTCACACCGATTCGGAACGCTAGTTCGTTTGACTCAACTTCTTCGTCGAATTCCCTCCATGTTGTCAAATTAAAATTGTCTTTATTGAAGTCACAAAAAAGGTGTTCACATCCAGAAAGGCCAACAGAGGTTGCTTTTGTCCAACTTATAACCGCGAGAAAATATATTTGGCATGTATATTTCGACCAAGATTTCAGTACCTTCGGCGGATACTGTTGACTTTACTACCATTTAGCGCCTTTCTTAATTTAAGATAAAGATCACTTCTGTTTGTTGAAAGTCGATATATCTGTAGCGGCAGAGCATGCGGATATTATATCTCGTCTACCTCGTCCATGGCCGAACCTCTGGTAGCTGTGCCAGACAGCAACAGAATATCGATGGAACACGTGTTTTTGTTGTTAAAAAGCATCTACTCTCTCAGTATAGTAAATAATTACCTAAATTATACAACTGGCTGCCCGTTGACAGCCTAGGAATATTACTCGGTTATCTCGCAGTGGCTGATGGACTTTGACCCATATTTTCCTATCAAATTTTGGACTGCGCTTATAGACTCTTGAATAAACTGATCTACTTTGAGTTACAGATTAATTTCTGATTAAATTAAAAAGCTACAACAAGAATTCTGGGTGCATCTATAGTGAATAAAGGATTCCGATATCAGATGTATTAACCGTCTGCCAGCCGGAAAATTTGGATATTTGGTCACTGTTAAACTGCAAACGGCAGTTTTAAGATCTCCTTATGATCTACTTTGTACTTTTTCAACTTGGCCGGTCCCACTTGATTCGTTTCCGTTGCCTTGAAGAAAGGATCTGTCTCCTAGGAGATCACTCTCTCGTTGAGTGATGGGCTAGCTGATATGGGTGATTTATCAGATGCCTGTCACCAGTTAGTAAAATTGAAAGCAGGTTTCCTGTGGCAGATTTAAGTGTTGTTGATCCCCGTGCAAGGGATCAAGTATATATTCAGCGGGCCTCCAAAAGCCGAACCTCAGGTGATAAGGATTCTCTTCTCCACCCGAGTAAACTCAGAGGGATCGTGTAGAGGAGATGAAAGTCTGGAGCTCTCAACATGGGATACCTTGAGAAATAAATTTACAATCTACTTCTGCTCAACCAACAAGTTTCTTTTCCGAAGTACTCAAAATTGCTTTATACGGCCGCCACAGTTTCAAACTTCACAGATTTGTTAGTTTTCTGTGGGCGACAACGCATTATTTCGTTATATCCCACGACGTTAAATGGGCCGCTTTTGTTGGTAAGCCGTACCTACTGAGAGGTTATGCAGCATTCTGGAGGTCTCCTGCCCTCTAAGCCTGTCCCCCGGACCTGGAAGTCCAACAGTGTACTGATTAGAAGATAGGCGTACACTGACCAGTAACAGGGCACACCCACCCTTTACGGTAAAATGTCCTAAAAAATAACAAAAATGTTACTGAAACATAGTAAATAACACTACAATTAGCCATATGGCACGTTCGTGGATAAGCGAACACACAGGACATCAAAAAACAGGGCAGGTGTATAGTCCCTATCAACGCCCGCCAAGAAGTCGAGCCCGATAGCTCGATGGTTAGGGCGTTTGCCTCTGACAGGAGAGACGCGGGTTCGAAATTCGAGGGTGACAGCAATTTCTGCTGCTACACTTGAGTAGAGTATATCCAGCTGACAACGCCTAATGAGGCAGAAATGGCCATTCTGGATTCCCTGTCTAACGGTAAAATGTCCTAAAAGTGAACTGACGTTGAAAAACTGTTGGGATATTTACTTTACCTATAGACATTACTGAATTACTTATTCAACGCTTCACGAGTTAGTTTGCTAGCGTACGATCAAAACAACAGAAAAAATATGTAGCTTAGCAATCTGGTCGTGTTGCATTTTGGCTGCCCTTTGATACACGGATCGGATCAGGTTAGAGAAAAAGAGGTGAAATGTATTCATTCGGTAAATTCTGCACGCCGTGGGAGTGAATGTTCACAACATTAGGTTGAATCGTGAAGTGCAGGTCAGTTTTTTTGATCGGATTGAGTACTTTAGCAATTTTGCGCTTTGCCTAGACGTCTGCAAAGGGTGTGGCCGTAGGGCGTGCGAATGATGAACTTTAAACCACAGGGATATGACTCAAATGAATGCCTCAAACTGTACTTCCCAGTTGGAACTGTGCCAGCAATGCAAGGGTGACCTGTCGGCTCCACCAGATGGTGTCATTTTAGAGCCGACGATGATTTCCTTCGGGAATAAAAGTGCAAATGAATTTTTCATATGCTATATAACCCTTCCCCCCATCGGAGATGGTGTCCTTAAAATATTTATAGAAGACATAATGAAGAGAGCTCCATAAAAATACTGAATTTGGCAGGCGCATCGAAGTAAAAAGGAGTTCTTATGTTCGGTTCCCGTTCGGTATTTTATATTCTCGTCTGCCATCTCTTTATTAATTTATGCTCCATCACCGTAATCCATTATTGTTCGGTATTTTTAGATTTTCTGCTCGCACGGTATTCCAACAGAGATTACGAGGAATTTACAAAAATACTTGCAGACGATGTCGCAAGTCTCAC